AATATTAAGTATTCAGAGGAGACTGAGGCAAGAGGATCACAAGGTCAAGGCTATTCTGGGCAACTTAGCAAGATTTGTCTCAAATATAATAGGATAAAAGAGGATGGAGAACTGGGAGTGTAGCTCAGTGATAGAGCACTTGCCAACTCTGTCTACAAGGTCATGGGTTCATTCACCAGTACTAAATACAAAAAAGACGTCACAGAAGTTCTTCCCAGGTACTTGGTATAGTTCTAATTTATTGCTTTTTATGTCCGCATAACATTCACAGATTATTGAACTCTTATATTTTTTATGGAAATATTTTGTTTCTGGGCTGTTGTTTTTTTCCAAATGTTTTTTAGTTATACAAGGATACAATATCTTTATTTTGTTTGTTTATTTTTATGTGGTGCTAAGGATGGAACCCATTGCCTCACATGTATAAGGCAAGTGCTCTGCCACTGAGCCACAACCCCATCCCTTGTTTCTGGGTTTTTACCCTATGAACAATAATGTGATAAATATCTTCGCAGCAATCTTTCTTACTAGTGCTTTTATGTCTATGAGATAAAGTCCCAGATATGAAATTGCTAAGTGAGAAGGTATTCTAAATTTTACTAAATATTTCTAGATTGTATTCCAAAAACCTGTGATGATTCATATTTCAAACAGCAATATAAGAACTATATTATCTGGGGCTGGGGATGTGGCTCAAGCGGTAGCGCGCTCGCCTGGCATGCGTGCAGCCCGGGTTCGATCCTCAGCACCACATACAAACAAAGATGTTGTGTCCGCCGAAAACTAAAAAATAAATATTAAAAATTCAAAAAAAAAAAAAGAACTATATTATCACTGGCAATTGGTATTATTAGTCTTTTTAATATTTGCCAATCTCAGGGCTGGGAATGGAGCTCAGTGGTAGAGTGTTTGCCTAGCAGGAGCAAGGCCCTAGGTTTGATCCACCAGCACCACCACCACCAAAAAAAGGGTTACCAATATTTGCCAGTGTAATGCTATGTTTCCTTGTTGTTTCATAAGATTGAGCACCTTCTCATTATATTTGGTCACTTGAAGTTGTCTTCAGTGAATTGCTTATTTATGAAATGGACATTTTTCTGTAGGTCTTGTTATTAATTTGTGAGAGCTCTGTTAGTAAAATATTGACTTCTGTGTTTATGCTGAAGATATTTTTCTGCTTCTCCTGCTTGGTTCCTAACTGTGTATGGTCTCTCTGGCCACAGTAAAATTGTATGTAATCAAATATGTCTTTCTTCTCTTGCAGCTTCTGGGCTTCCAGTCTTGGTTAAGCAGGTCACCCTACCCTCAGATTGTGCATGTAGTCTTCTAGATTCTCTTTTAAGATTTGTATGTTTTTCAAATTTTAATTTTTATGTTTAAATCTTTGTATAAATGGGTTTGATCTCCAACACCACGAAGAAATCTTTGTACCCAGTGTAAAATAGATATTCAATTTTATTTTCTCTGAGGTGGATTCTAATTATGCCAGTACCACATTAAATATTCTTACCTTTTTTTCCCTCCTGTTTGGTGTTAAGAATTGAACTCAGGGCTGGGGATGTGGCTCAAGCAGTAGCGCGCTCACCTGGCATGCGTGCGGCCCGGGTTCGATCCTCAGCACCACATACAAAAAAAGATGTTGTGTCCGCCGAAAACTAAAAAATAAATATTAAAAAAAAAAAAAATCTCTCTGCCTCTCTCTCTCTCTCTCTTAAAAAAAAAAAAAAAGAATTGAACTCAGGGCCTCTGTTACTGAGCATGTGCTCTATGTGCTCTACCACTAAGCTATACCCCCAATTCCAATTCATTCATCTTTTATCCCCAGAATGGAATTACCACCTTCATCATATATATTATATTCTCATATTTAGATGAAGCTTTTAATTGTATAAAAACCAGAAATATGAAAAATTGTGCTCTATCTGTATGAATAAGAATTGTAATGTATTCTGCTGATATAAATAAAAATTAGAATTTAAAAATAAATAAAAGAAGCTTTTAAGGACTGGGGATATAGCTCAGTTAGTAGAATGCTTCCTTCGCATGCACAAGGCCCTGGGTTCAATCCCCAGCACCACACACACACACAAAAAAGTGAAACATATTTAAAAGCTTTTAAGATTTTAAAAAGACAAGAGAGCTGATGGCATATTTCAGTGGTAGAGTACTTAACCTAGCATGCATGAGGCCCTGGGTTCCATCCCCAGCAACGCAAAGGGGAAAAAAAGGAAAGAAAATTTAAAATAGTATGACAAGATGATCGGCACCACTATGTCACTTTGTTTGGTGATGGTTCCCTCCTGTTTGGTGTAGCAGCTGGTTGAATGTGTGACCCCTTTTACCTTGCCTCTGCTTCCCTTTCAGCTGCTACTAGCTGATGAGGGCATAGCCCCTCTTCCTCCTGCGGGACCAGTGAAGGAGGAGAAACCCCTGCTTGGAGAAGGGCTGTTGCCTTTGCTTCCAGTTCAGTCCATCAAGGAAGAGGAAACTCAGCATGGGGAGGACATGCCACAGTTAGCAAGACCCATCAAAGTGGAGAGCCCTCCCTTGGAAGAGTGGCCCTCCCCATGCCCATCATTCAAAGAGGAGCTGTCTCACTCCTGGGAGGATTCATCCTGCTCTCCTACCCCAAGACCCAAGAAGTCCTACAGTGGGCTTAAGTCCCCAGCCCGATGTGTCTCAGAAATGCTCGTGATTAAACGAAGGGAGAAGAGGGAGATGAGCCGGTCTCGAAGGAAACAGCATCTGCAGCCTCCCTGTCTGGATGAGCCCGAGCTGGTCTTCTCAGAGGGCCCCAGCACATCCCGACGAGTTACTGAGGCCCCCCTCCTGGCAGAGCCTGTCTCCCACCTGAGCTGCCTCCAGGAGGAGGGAGGACCTTTCAAGACCCCCATTAAGGAGACTCTGCCCATCTCCTCCACACCGAGCAAATCTATCCTCCCCAAAACCCCTGAATCCTGGAGGCTCACACCCCCAGCCAAAGCAGAGGGTCTTGATTTCAGCCCAGTACGAACCCCCCAGGGCGCCTTTGGCTCCCTGCCTGACTCCCTGGGGCTGATGGATCTGAGCACCACGCCGCTGAAAAGCATTCCCCTCTTTGACTCACCCCGAGAGCTCCTCAATTCAGAACCCTTTGATCTTGCCTCTGACCCCTTTAGCAGCTCTTCCCCCTCTGATCTGGAAGTTCCCAAGCCAGGCTCTCCAGAGCTTCAGGTTCCCAGTCTTTCAGCCAATCGTTCTCTGACTGAAGGTCTGGTTCTGGACACGATGAATGACAGCCTCAGCAAGATCCTGTTGGATATCAGCTTCCCTGGCCTGGAGGAGGACCCATTGAGCTCTGACAACATCACCTGGTCTCAGTTTATTTCTGAACTACGGTAGAGACTGGACTTGACCTTGCCTTGCTGCTCAAGCTGTCCACCATTCCAGGCATTCATGTGGCTGAGCAGTCCCAAGGCTCAGTGTACCCCAATCCCTCTGAGTGAGGACAGCAGGCAGGGACCATGCTGCTCCTCTTAGCTCCCCAGCCTGATTATGCCAAGGCAGCAGTCTCACCTTAACTGCTGCTGGGACCTTTGCAAGCAGTAGGGTAACTGGTCTCTGTGCCACCTATGCTTCTTGAGAGAATCTGATTCCTCTACTCCCCTTGCCATAAGCTGAAGGGTGAGAATGGCAAAAGTAACGGTAAAAAGGAGTTAGTACTTCCCCAAACCGTTTTCATTCTGTTCCCAGCAGTCTCACCTTCCCTGCTCCTTGTAGGGTGACCCTTGTAAATAGTGTAAATTTTCCAAATTATCCTCTAATTATAAATGTAAGCTTATTTCCTTAGATCATTATCTAGAGACTGCCAGAAGGTGGGCAGGGTAACAAGGGGTTGCAATTTGCCTCTATTCCTTGCTTTTGGTTCCTGGAGAAGGGCAGGACCTGCAGTGCAGGTTTCTTCCTGACCCGAGGTACCTAGCTCAAGGGTTCTTTACTGTAGGCACCCAGTCTGCTTCCCAGGGTCCCTCTTATTGCTCCTTCCTCCTACCTCCCCATGTTTCCAAGTCAGCTTTCCTGCAAGAAATCCTGGTTTAAAAGGTCTCATATTGGGTCAAGAGTTGAATTTTGGGGTGGTTGGATAAATGCATCTACAGCAAAGTGAATAAGTGCCCAGATGTGCCCCCTATTAGATGTTTCTCTGATAATGTCCCTAATCATGCCAGGGAGACTAGAATTGAAGAGAACTCAGGCAGAGGCTTGAGAAGGTGGAAAGGACCCCTGACCTGCCTGGCTTCCTTAACTTGCACCTCAGCTTTGCAAAGAGCCACCCTGGGCCCAGCTGACTGCATGTACATGAGCCAGCTCAATAACACTACTGTAACTACCTACCAAATAAAATCCAGGGTGGACCTGCTTGTCTCTGTGGTCTCAGTATCTGGAAGGGTTGGAAAAGAAAGTGGGTAATGGTGGATATGGTGGTAATGGGGAGAAACAAGGCCTGCAGCTCTCAGTGGTAGCACTGGGAGAATGCACAGGGTTTTTGCAGAATCCCCTCCCTGCCATACTCTGCTGGAGCATATATCCTCTCTGACACAGAAATTGCCAGTTTTCCCTCTTTTCCCTGTCATAGATCTGTTCTTGGGGCCTCTGTGCCTACTGGCTAACTTAGGATTCTGTCAGCTCTCAGTAAGAGTGGCAGGCCCAAAAAACATTAGATTAAAATGGGCTGCACTGCAGGTGCCTTCCTAAAACCTCATTCCCAGCCTGAGACCTAGAAGCCAGCCTGTTTGGTTATTCTCCTTACCAAGTCTTCCTAGCAAGTTCCTTCCCAGAAACAGTTCCTGTCACCATTTTTTGCAGCCAGAACTGTCAAGAGAGTCCTTCCCACTCTCTGCCTGTCTCACTTGAAAAGGAGGCAGGATCCCAAGGGCCTGAAGAGCCTCTGGTGACAGGTAAGGGCCTCCTCTCTTGTCACCAGCCAGGAAGTATCACCATAGCGACCCTAGAAACAAACAATGGTGCCAGAAAGGGCTTCCCCACTAAGCCACCCCTCCTGGCTCTGACGCCCAGAAGAAGAATGGCTAGTAACCCACAAAAATCATTCAGAGGAAGGATGAGCAATTCATCTTGTGTCAGAGAGCCTTTCTTGAAGGTAGGGGGAGGAGCCTACCTTTTTCTCCACCTGGGCTAGAGGCTGTGGTGAATTCTCCCCTGTGTTTCCCTCTTGGTCCTATGATGCTGCTGGCACACAGCTCAAAACAGAGGAGATGCCTACTTAGCACAGATGAGTATCCCTTATCCAAAATGCTTATCCAAAAGTGTTTCAAGAATTTTTTTTTTAATATTGAAATATTTGCTAGATGTCTTGGGGGAGAGGACCCCAAATTCACATGTTTCACATATACCTTATACAAGGTAATTTTATGCAATGTGTTTAGTATGCCTGTGTTTTCACTGCAACTGATCATATAAAGTCAGGTGTGGAATTTTCCACTGTGACTTGTCAGTACTCAGATTCAGATTTTGAGCATTTTGGATTTTGGATTTTCAGATTAATGATACTCAACCTGTATCATATGTATCCCCCAGCCCCACATACTTATAGAAATGACTTAGACCCAAGAAAAAGTAGGTTTGGGGAATCAGAAAATCCTCGTGGGTAGACAGGAGGGAGAAGCATTTTTACAGATACACATTTTTGTCCTGGCCAGGTCACACTGGGCATTGTGCTATGTGAAAGTATTTCACAGCCTGGGGCTGTAGCTCAGTGGTAGAACTCTTGCCTAGCACTTGTTAAGGTTCAAGCCTCAGCACCACATATAAATAAATAGATAGATAGATTAATTAATTAAATAGAGGTATTGTATCTATTTACAACTAAAAATAAGTTTAAAAAAAAAAAAGCATTTCACACAGAACGATATGCTGAAGATGAACACAGACAGCTCAAGTCCCAGCATCCTGAGTGAGTTCCTTAACTCATTGGGTCTTGCTCTTTGCATCTTTTGATTTAGTTTCCTTCGCTCTGACAATATCTGAGACAAACAACCTCCTTTAGGAAAGGTTGATTTTGGGTTATGGTTTCAGAGGTTTCGGTCTATAGTGGTTCTGTCCTGCTGCTCTGGGCCTAAGGCAGCACAATGTGTCATGGTGAGAGCTCACAGTGGAGGAGTCATCACTTCATGGTTGTCCAAAAGCAAAAAGAAGAAGGGGCAGGGAGCCCACTGTCTCTTCAAGGGCACACCTCCAGAGACTTCCTTCCACTAGGCCCCATCTCCTAAAGATTCTACCAGCTCCCAATAGTGCCACAGGCTGGGGACCGAGCCTTTAACACATCGGCTTTTGAGGGACACTTCCAAACCATAGGGAAAATAACAATACTTGCTTACATAGTATGAGGGTTGAATGAGATGTGCTTAAGTATGGAGCACAATGTCAATACTTAATTGCTGGGCTGGGGCTGGGGCTCAGTGGTAGAGCACTTACCTAGCACGTGTGAGGCGCTGGGTTCAATCCTCAGCACCACATAAAAATAAATAAAGGTATTGTGTCTACCTACAATTAAAAAAAGACATTTGCTACTACTTATCTCGTGGGGGCTGGGCACAGAAAAAGGGGAGGAACTGACATTCTAGATACTCTGTATACTTGTTTGCCTTTTAATAAGAGAGGGGACAGTGCTGTGACAGAGGAACAAATAGTAAAAGGAGTCTGAAATGGAAAACCAACTAGACCTGTTTCCTGGAGTGTCACCAGGTCCAGAAGCAAGGGAAGGAGGGTTTCTGAATGGGCTGGTATGTGCCATTTCCCCTCACAGACCCTGCAGCCGATGTGCTTTCTTGAGAGCACCAGTTCCTGGGCAGGAAAGGGGTGCAACAATGATGAGAAGGTAGGAAATCAAAGCCAAAATACGATCAGTGGAAAGAAAATTTGAGCAATCCATGAAAATAATACAGAGAATATTACAATAACTTCAGAAAGGCAGGACAGGAGCCAAGAGATGACTCCCTGCTGGCCATCATGGCTTGATGAGAGTCTTGGGCTTCAGGAGGTTGGCAGTTTGTTCCTGAGGAGGACAGTAGAATGCCTCCCCCCAGTCCCTGCACCCCTGCCTGCATAGCCCATCCCAGCTTCCTTTTGTCTCTCCCTAGATGGTCCATGCCAATGAATCCCTCCCGACCCACCAAACGTGGGTTCAGCGCGAGTTCCTTCTCCCCAGGGAGACCTGCGAGTTACCTGGCTTTACCCGGCAAGCCTACCACCAGCTGGCCCAGAGGCTGCCACCCCACTCAGATATGAAGTCCAAAGTGCACCGCCGGCTAATCCACCCTTGGAAGGACACAATCCAGCACAGCTGGGGCTTTCACACGTGGCTCGATGTGGGGCGTCTGCCTGCCACCTTTCCCACACACCCTGACATGCCCTATGACAGCAATGTCTGGCGCTGGCTGACCCACTCCAATGCCCACGACTATCCCCCAGCAGACACCCCCATCCCTCCTCCCTCCTGGATTGGGAAAAACAACTTCCTGGCCTTCATCCACTCTACCCCCATCTTCTTGGACATAAATAGGAAGAGCCAGGTGATTTTGAAGACAAAGAAGGAGCTGAAGGAGATTCAGAAACTCAAGCTGAGGAGTGAAGTCAGAGCGCCTCCACTGGATACTCATGGCAACATCATGCCTCCTGCAAACTTCAAAAAGTAAGATAAGCCCCTGCCTCCCAAGTTGCTCATCCTGCCCATGTTCACAGGTGACCCTTCCCTCACTCCCATTCCTATTTCTGGTGTCTAAATTGGTACTCCAACCTGCCCATCTATGGTGTCATCCCTTTTATCCTTTTTTTTTTTTAAAGTTGTAGTTGGATACAATATCTTTATTTTATTTTCATGTGGTGCTGAGGATGGAACCCGGGGCCTTGCACATGCTAGGCAAGTGCTCTACTGCTGAGCCACAACCCCAGCCCCCTTTTATCCTTTTTTTTATGGTGCAGGGGATGGAACCCAGGTTTCCTCAGAGTACTTGTTGCTAAGTACATATGTAGGAGCATCCAAAAGGGAATAAGACCTAGTACCCTCCTCAAAAAGATTTCACTGTCAAATTTAAGTACTTTAACTGTATTACTCAATCCCCTGAGACCCTCAGGAAAATGGGCATCTTAGATGAAGAGGTCAAGTCTTTTGCTCAAGTTCTCACAGCCCCCAGATCACAAACTTAACAAACAGTTTTAACTTTTTCTTTTGTCTTTCTCTTTTTCAGGATTGGGTATTTAACCTAGGGTACTCTACCCCTGAGCTACACTCCCAGCCCTTTTTTAAAAAAATATATTTTTTATTTGTAGATGGACACAATACCTGAATTTTATTTTTTTTTATAATGTGATGCTGAGGATCGAACCCAGTGCCTCACACATGCTAGGCAAGTACGCCACCACTGAGTCACAATCACAGGCCCCCCCTTTTTTATTTTTGACACAGGGTTTTCCTAAGTTGCCCAGGCTGTCCTCAAATTTGTAAGCCTCCTCTCTCCGCTTCCTGAGTTGCTGGGATTACAGGTATATGCCACCATGGCTGGTGATTTTAACTTTCTTAAACCTTTGAACCTCACATGTCTCAGGTATATACCAGAGATGTACCTGGTACTTTGATGGTTTTTTTTGTGGATTAAATGGCACTATGCTGAGCATATAAAAGGGGCACAAGAAGTGGCATCACTCCTGGTTTGGCATTTCCTTGAGAGTAAGGTACAGCTGTGGGGGCAGCCCAGGAGCCTAGAATGAAGGAATGGGTCACAAAGTTTTTGTTTTTGCAGTGCTAGAGATTGAATCCAGGACCTTCTGCATGCTAAGCACATGATCTACCACTGAATTTCATCCCCAGCCCCTCAGATAAGGTTTCATAGTTCATAGAGAGGGTAGTATGTGAACTAGACCTTGAAGGAGTTAGACAAGTTCAGTAGGTGGGAACAAGAAAGTAATGAGAATCTGGTTGTTCCTCTGAGCAGCTCTGAAAAAGAAGGGTTTAAAAATTTGTTAAAAATTAGCCTGGGGCCTGAAAGATGTAGTTTAGTAGCAAAGCTCAAGCTTAAGCATGCTCAAAGCCCTGAGTTAGATCCCCAGCACAGGGGGAAAAAAAAAAAAGGAGTAGTCATCGATGACGTTATGAGCATCAGGGACCCAAAAGACTTCAGACACATAAGATAAGATCTAAGTTTTAAGATGCTGTGGTCTTGTTGGGGAAATAGAACATTTATGTATAAATCCAATAGTTCTCAACCCTGGCAGCACATTAGAATGATCTGGGACTTTTTAAAAACTATGCCAAGGTTTGAGCCTCATCCCAGAAAGTCTAGCTTAAACGATCTGGAGGACAGGCATTGTATTTTGTTTTTTGAAATTATTTTATTTTATTTAGTTGTGGATAGACACAATACCTTTATTTTATTTATTTATTTTTATATGATGCTGAGGAACGAACCTCATGCCTCACATGTGCTGGGCACTAACACTGAGCTACAAACCCGGGCCCTGGGCATGGTGTTTTACTTATCTTTTTATTCATTTATTAAAATTTATTACTATTATTTTGGTACCAGGATCCAACCCAGGGCCTCACACGTGCTAAGCAAATGCTCCACAACTGAACCACACTCCTAGCCTGTGGTATGTTTAAAATTCTAATGTACAGTCATGGCTGAAACCCCTGAATAAACCAGCAACAGCAAATAGGGAATATCCGAAAACTAAGTGCAAAGCATGTTGAAGCTGAAAATGTGCCACTATTCAACTGTGTTTGTTTTTTTTTTAAAGTCAATTTCCTACTGTTCAATACTACAGGCCAAGAGAGAAGAGAAGCCACCCACTTGTGCAAAGTTCAGTGGACTTCCCACAGGCACTGCATTAGTGGAGAAGGTGAGACTTGAAGGACAGTTAGAATTCAGATAAGAATCTGCATAATGACAGTGGCTCAGGAGGTGGATGCAGGAGGATGGCAAGTTCAAGGCCAGCCTGGACAACATAGTAAGATCCCGTTTCAAAATAAATAAAAAGGACTGGGGATGCAGCTCAGTGGTAGAGTTCCCTGGGTTCAATCCCCAATTACCACCCTCCCCAAAGAATCTGCATAAAAATATCATATACAGTATGTCAAAAGAATGAAAGGTTTATTAGTTAGACATGATCTCACCAGCCCAATGACAAAATGTACACCTAGGGTGCAAGCCATTTGGCAAAGTTCCATATTGAAGGAAGAGAGAGAAGGGATTCCCATAGCCTGATCCCCATGGAGCTTGTGGAAGGCAGTGTCCCCCTCCCCACCATGCCTAGAGTTCTCCCTTGACTTCTCTGATGTCTCCACTTTCCTTCCTCCACAGAGCCCAGTACATATCTGCTGGTGGGAGGTTTGAGCCTCAAGGTCTCCCACTCCTGCCCAATCCACTCCCCACTACTCTCGCCAGAGGCTGGCCCTGCCCAAGCCCTGTGCCTCATTACCAGGAGAAGACGCTAAAGCTGGCCTTGCTGCCCAGCATGCCCCTGAGTAAGGACCTCATAAAGGATTACCAAACCCTGATAAAGGACCGAATTGCCTTGCCCCTCTACCCTCTGTCCAAGGCAAAACCTGGCAAAACCTTGGGGAAGAAGAGGAAGAGAAGACCTGGATACATCTAGAAGGAGCCTCCAGATGGGTTGGGACCATGGTGGGTCCGTAGGCACCCCCCCAAAACTCCAGTTTTCTAAACCAGTGTTCCTGCAGCAGGAAGATTTGGAGTGGCTGATGGACTCTGGCTTCTGGAGAACAGCCTCTTCAACATCTTCCCAACTCAAGCTGCCTCTGTACCCCCAGGCTCCTGGAGACTCTACGGAAAATCTAAATTGTTCAACCTCTTTCTTGGAGATACTCGTAGCAGATGAGGGGACCGTGGTGGGGAGGGGGGCAGAAGAGTGAGAACATGGAGGGGTTCCAGTTCCTAAGGGCAGAACAAGGAGTGGGAAGAAAGAAGATGAGTGTGTGTGCGCGTGTGTGCGCGCGTGTGTGCGTATGTGTGTGTGTGTGTTTTGCACTGGGGTAAGAGGGGCTGTAAGAAATGTAGGTAAAAAGTCACATTGACTCTCATAAGGTACAGAGTCCCTTAGGCAAAAATAACCTCCCTTTCTCCCCTCCCTGGACCATCTGACGTCTGGACAAAGACCATACACACTGTGCTTAGGTCCAGGTCCCCATGTAAGATTTGGGAGAGTAGAGGTCAGGTCCAGGCCGATGCTGGAGGACAAGAGGATCAGACCCAAGGAAGGTTAGCCAGGTCTGAGCAGAGGACAGGAGTGGAATGAAGTAGACCGTCAAGGTGAAAGTCAGAGCAGTTAGCCCAGAGCATCACCTGAGGGCCTTGGGCCATGCTGCTGCTAATTCTAGAGGCCTCAGGGCCTGCTATGGGGAGGAAAAGAAAGGCTGACGTGGTGGAGGCAGGCGAAGGGTAACAGCCAGAAAGTGCTCTCCTGGCTGGCTGGGGTAGAGGTGGGCCAGGGACCTGTAGGAGGCCTAGTGGAAAAGGTACAGGGCTGGAGGGGGAGAAGTCAGAGGTGATGGCCTTACCCCACCTCCTCCTGCCCCGATTCTGTCCCAGGTCGGCTTTTTCTTGGCCTCTTGTCTGCTGACCTCCCTATCTCCACTTTTCTCAAGCCCCACAGGCTTGTATGTGGTGCTGAGAATCGAACCCAGTGCCTCATGCATGCTAGGCAAGCATGCTACCAGTGGGCCACAACCCCAGCCCCTATGAATGTTTTTAATCACTATAATGAAATACCAGTGGCGGTCTACTTTATAAAGTAAAAGGCTAAGTTAGTTCATAGTTTTGGAGACTTGAAGTCTAAACAGTATGGTGCAGGCTCTTGCAAGGCATCTCTTGGCTGCATCATATCATGGCAGGAGTGTTTGTACAAGTTTTTGTGTATGTCACTCTACTTATAAAACGTCAGTCATGGAAACTCCACCCTAATGACCTTATTCAATCCACCCTAATCACTTCCCAAAGGCCACCTTTAAATAGCCTAGTTGGATTAAGTTTCTACCCTCTTAATACCTGACAGTGGAGATTAAATTTCAACATATGAAGCCTTGGGGACACTCAACCCATATCTAAACCATAGCAGGGACAGAGCTCATGAGGTGAGGAGTGGTGATTAAATTTCGGAGGAACAAAGGAAAGGATGAAGAACAGGAAGAGGTCTTGATCACCTGTGGCATCAGTTGTATTCTGGGACTGAAAATATCAGGTGGGGCACCCCCAAGGCTGCTCTAGTGCTTCATCACCAGAGGAGTTGGGATAATGACAGGATGTTTAATCTGTGTCCTCTGGAGTCTTGCACACAATTCATTCATTAAACTTTGTCCATGTAGAGAGAAGAGAGGGAAAAAAAGTGGGGGGTGCTTTACAAAGCTGGGGATCTAGTGAGAAGATGGATAAGCAAACAATTATAAAATAGTATGAAAGGGGCTGGAGTTGTGGCTCCGTGGTAGAGCACTTGCTTAGCATGTGTGAGGCCCTGGGTTTGGTTCTCAGCACCACATATAAATAAAGGAATAAATCAACATCTTAAAAAAATAGTGTGAGAATTAATGTAATAGATACCTGATCCAGTTGGACTTACGAGTGAAGAGGACTCCAGTAGCATACAAGTCAGAGTGTGTATATCCTTATACATGAATGTGTGTTTGTGTGTGTGCATATTTGTGTATATATAGGTAGTTCACAAATAATAGCAAATGTCTACTAAAGACTTACTATGTACCAGGTACTGTTGAAGAGATTTACCAATCAGCTCACTTAATTCTCACAATATTACAAGTTAGGGCTTTGTGTGTGTGTGTGTGTGTGTGTGTGTGTGAGAGAGAGAGAGAGAGAGAGAGAGAGAGAGAGAGAGAGAGAGAGAGAATGGGGATTGAACCCCCAGGGTCATTTTACCACAGAGCTGCCTATGCAGTGCCACTTTCCTTTATTTTGAGATGGAGTCTTGCTAAACTGCTAAGGCTGACCTCCAATTTATAATCCCCTTGCCAGGTGTGGTGGTGCTTGCCTATAACCCCCAAAACTTGGGAGTTTGAGGCAGGAGGATCTGAAGTTTGAGGCTGGCCTTGGAAACTTAGTAAGATCCTGTCTTAAAATAAATAAAAAGGGAGGGGCGTAGTGGCTCATGCCTGTAACCTCTTTGGCTCAGGAAACTGAGAAAGGAGGATCTTGAGTTCAAAGGCAGCCTCAGCAAAAATTGAGGTGAAAAACAACTCAGTAAGACCCTGTCTCTAAATAAAATACAAAATAGGGTGGCTGGGGCTGTAGCTCAGCGGTAGAATGCTTGCCTCACAGGTGTGAGGCCCTGGGTTCAATCCTCAGCACCGCATAAAAATAAATAAACAAATAAATAAAGGTATTTTGTCCATCTACAACTAAAAAAATATTTTAAAAAAATACAAGATAGGTTGGGGATGTGGCTCAAGCGGTAGCGCGCTCGCCTGGCATGCGTGCGGCCCTGGGTTCGATCCTCAGCGCCACATACAAACAAAGATGTTGTGTCCGCTGAAAACTAGAAAATAAATATAAAAAAAAAATACAAGATAGGGCTGGGGATGTGGCTCATTGGTAGAGTGCCCCTCATTTCAGTCCCCGGGACCCAAAAATATAAATAAATAAATAAATAAATAAATAGGGGCTGGGGCTATAGCTCAGTGGTAGAGCACCTGCCTTGTACATGTGAGGCACTGGGTTCAATCCTCAGCACCACATAAAAATAAATAAATAAATAAATATTAAAAATAAATAAATAAATAGGGCTGGGGCTGTAGCTCAGTGAGCACCAGTGATAAATGTCAAAACTGTCACAGGGTTCCTGGGACCTTTGCTGGGCAGGACAGTTCTGGAAAACAACTCCATTCCTGTCTTTGGCAGATTTGAGGGCCCAGAGGAGAAAGTCTGAAATAGAACTGGCTGCCCTTGACTCTCCACTGGCTCAAGGGAGCTGTTTGTCTAGCTCTGAATAACCCATTCTATCAAGAATATTCTGGGAATTTCCTTATGTGGCAGGACATTTGGGTGGGTGATTTCACTGGTTCCAGATGAGCTCTCCTTACCCTCCCTATCAGGAGAGATAAGAATGGGCACTATTCAGGCTTAAGGAAGGAACATTGGGAAGAAGAGGTGTGAAGATTTAAAGACATGAAGGCCAGACAGGGTGGCACTCACCTGTAATCCCGACTCAGGAGGCTGAGACAGGAGGATCACTAGTTTGAGGGCAGTCTTAGTGAAGCCTTAAGCAACTTAATGAGACCCTCTTTCAAAATAAAAAATGAAAAGGACTTAGGATGTGACTCATTAGTAAAGCACCCCTGAATTCAATCCCTAATACTAAAACAAACAAAAAACATGGAAGGATAACACAGAGAAGGTGGGATGCAGTTAATCAGTTAATCTCCATTTCTTCTGGGGCTTGAACAACAGGGCAGGGACTTCCACATAGCTCCAAGGATTCACCTTAGATAGTGCTGAGAGATACTGGAATAAATTATAACAGGTTAGAGGAAACAAGCTGTGAAATTCATCATTTTTTATTTTTGTAGTGCTGGAGATCCAACTCAGGGCCTCACACATGCTAGGCGAGGCAAGCACTCTACCACCAGCTACATTCCCAGACCTACAGATATATGTTTTGTTTTGTTTTTGTGTTACTGGAGATGGAACCCGGGGTGCTCTACCACTGAGCTATACCCCCAGGCCCTTCTTATTTTTCATTTTGAGACAGAGCCTCACTAAGTTGTCCAGGCTGGCCTTGGATTTGTGATCCTCAGTCTCCTGAGTAAGGAGATTACAGGCACAGGTCAATTTGCCTGGCTAAACATATATTTTTGTTTTGGTTTTGTGGTGCTGGGGATTAAACCCAGGGTCTTGCAAGCACTTGTGAAATCTATTTAAGACAGTGTTTGTCCAATAAAAATATAATGGAAATATATATATATATATATATATATATATATATATATATATATATATAAAGTTTTTTGAAATTAATAATTTTAAGTTGCAGAGGCTGGAGGTAAGGGTCAGCAGTACATGTTTAAGGCCCTGGGTTCTAACTAACCAGGGCCTTAAAAAATAAAGTAAAAATTTTTGATTGCTGCATTAAAAGCAAACAAGTGAAATTAATTTTACAATGTATTTTATTTAACCCAATAGATACAAAATATTACCCATATACAATAATGTAATCTACCTAAAAATAATGTTTAACATTGTTTTTAGTATTGATTTAAAAATCCAGTATGTATTTGATACTTAGATAACATCTCAGTTTCAAGTGCTCAATGACTGTATGGGATAGCACTAGTCTAGAATCATCAATAGGGGCAGTGACCCAGTGCATGCTTAGTATGCATGAGGCCCTGGGTTCCATCTCCAGCACTGAGCATGCGTACACACACACACACACACACACACAAAGTATAATCAGTAATAACTATTTGACACTCAATGGAAAATAAAAGTTATAGTCTGGTTTTATCCAAAGTTTTCTAGAAGAACTTCAAGCCTGAGGGCCTATGAGGCTGGTGCCTTTTCAGCCTTCATTGTCCCTCAAAACACCTGGATTCACAGCACTCACTGAGCTTGGAACACACTCAACAGCACTCCATGTTCACTGTTTTGCAGAGGGACCCCAGTCTCCTGCAGTTCTGACAGATCCAGCGGGAAGAGTGTATGGAAGGGCTGGGGTTGTGGCTCAGCAGTAGAGCGATCGCCTTGCATGTACGTGACCTGGGTTCGATTCTCAGCACCACATAAAAATAAATAAGTGAAATAAAGGTATTGTGTCCAACTACAACTAAAAAATAAATATTAAAAAAAAAAAAGGTGTAGAGGACAGTGAAGACAAGCATGGACAGGTAGCCGTGCTGTCTCACAGCACCAGGGAAGCTTTATACCCTAGCTAGTCAGTCTTCTTGCTGGTATAAGTGACTGGTCACAGGAGGGCCAGGCCAGACACAGAGGATGGTGAGGTACCCATCTGTCCCTGTGTTCAATGGGGGTGTGGGGACTAAGTACTCTCCCCGCCTGCAAGTTATGGTCTGTATAACTTGCACTCCTCTCTCTGTCTGGACTGTCCTTCCTCCAGGTAACTATGCAGCCTTCTCCAGCATTGTGTGTGTGTGTGTGTGTGTGTGTGTGTTTCTGGGGACCGAATACAGGGGTGCTTTACTGCTGACCTACATCCCTAGTCATTTTTTTTTAATTATTATTTTTTAAAATTTTGAGACAGGGTCTCACTAAATTGTCCGTTCTGGCCTTGAACATGTGATCCTCTTGCCTCAGCCTTCTGAATAGCCGGGATTACAGGCCACCACCACCACTATGCTGGCTCCATGATGGTCTTTGCATAATGTCATCTCCTCTAAAGAGCCACTCCTATCACTGCTCCTCCACGGTTCTCTGTGCTCTCACCTTGCTTTTTCTTCAGCATGTACTACTACCTGACATTATCAATTTACTTGCTTGTTCTCTGGCTTCCTCATCAGAATGTAAATTTCATGACAGCCAAGACCTTACGCTGTGCCTTGCTCTGGCACAGAGTAGATAATAAATATTTTCTGAAAAGTCCTCCCTACCCGCAGTGATGGGAATGGAAGCCAGGGCCTCGTGCAGGCTGGGTTAGTGCTCTACCACTGAGCTAGACCCTCAACCCAGATATTTTTTTGGTGAATAAAAGGAAAACTTCATTCAAAGGAGAACAAATGCAGTGAAGGAGCTATATTTCACACTTTGAGTTTTTCCTCTCAGAATTTCTAAATTTAGATTCATTTGCTTCAAGATTTTTGTGAACCACAAGATGAGAGAAAGAAGACATTTTCCAAGTTTTTTTTTTTCTTTCAGAAAGAAAAACTTCCACTTCTATTCCTACTTATTCAGAATGGTTTAATTTTCCTGAGTAGTGTTCCTGGAAATTTCATCCCCAGTGTCTCATTATTAGAAATCAATGTATTAGTTATTTCTTGTTAATAATTGGTTTTCTGTTTTGCTTTATTTCTCTCTCTTTTTGGTACTGGGGTTTGAACCCAAGACCTTGTACATCACTTTTTAAAATACCTTTATTTAATTTTTTAATTTTTACATGTTGCTGAAGATGGAATCCAGCACCTCAAACATGCTAGGCGGGTGCTCTACCACTGAGCCATAACCCCAGCCCATGACTTTTAATTTTATTTAGAGACAGGCTCTTAATATTTTGCTAGGCTGACTCTGAACTTCTGGGTTCTAGCAATCCTCTTGTCTGAGTATGGTTTTTTTTTTTTTTTAATTCTATAACTGTTAAGTCAAAAAATAATGAAAGGAAGAGACTAAGATGAGTTATTGGTAAAGACACAGACAACCCAGTTAAGGATACAGACTAGCTTTAGAATATTCCTTGGCATTCTTCACCAGCATATCACAGGGATTTCTTCAGCCCCTAAGAAGAAAGATCTCAAAGGCTTGCATGCTAGAATGTTCCTGTTCTCCTTACAATTTAGGGGGAAGGACAGAGACCACATCAGTGTAAAATCCAAACTCCCAAGTAAATTAGCTAAAGACTGACATCTGCTACGCTGAAAGGGAGAGGTCCAGCAAGGTAAGGCCCCTGGTGGTCAGGGGATGGAGTGGGAAAGGGCACTTTCATGCTTTCCCCCAACCCTGGCTGCAGAAAATTTCAGGAGGAAGCAGTAGCTGGGAGCGGATGGTCGGGGAGGGACGCAGAGCAGAGCCAGGTCTAGGCGCGCGTACAGACATGCCTGCCTGCCCCCACACGCAGAGCTCACAGGCTGCCGCCCCTACACAATAACACGCGCACCCTGGCAGTTTACAGCATCGTCACACACCCCTTCACCGCCCACTCAGACCAGGACCCCAGAATACACTGGATACTCTGCAGAACCTGCCAGCTGCAGGCCCTGCCAGCCCTCCCTCTCCTCTGGGGTTGGGTTTTTCCAGCCCGAGCCTCACTCCCTCTACCGCAATCTCTGGAAATTGGTGTCTGACGTGGCTGCTCCTGCCCATTATTTATTTATTTCTTCTTTTCTTCCTGCTGAGACCCTCCTGTCAGAAGGGGAGCTGCAATCCAGGCACGAAGATAGGCAGGAAGCTGCAGGGAGACACAGCAGCAGAGAGGACACAGGAAGGCCCCCTCCGAAGCCCCTGCCTGGCTCACCCAGAGGGGGGCCATGAGCTCCCAGCAGGAGGCCAGGAGAGATGAGGGAGACACCAGGAGGAAGGGACAGGAAGCAGAGCTGCGGGACCGAGCCCACCTGGGCCAGCAACGCCGGCTCAAACAGGCCACTCAATTCCTCCACAAGGACTCCGCCGACCTGCTCCCCCTGGACAGCCTCAAGAGGCTCGGCACCTCCAAGGATTTGGTGAGGCGGCCCTCTCCCCACCCCATGGCCAAGGAAGTCCCTGTCCCTTTCTCTCCACCTCCCCACATCCTGAGGAGGGTGGTTGGGAGGACCAGAAAGTGTAGATCCTCAACCTTCAGGTTCCCTCTCCCTTGCTGAGAAGGGGGAGAAAAGATCCGGCCACCTCGAGGGGCTTCACTCTGACCATTCCCAGGCTCTCTGCTGGGGCTGTTCCTGTGACTTGGCAGCCCTGTGGGGCCCACTGTCATTGCTCAGCTGCCCCTATCTTGCCACCCAATAGCCCAAGGCTTATCTTGGGGGATGATGGGGAGCTATGCTGTTTAGGGGTAGAGGCTTAGGGGACCCAGGAATCCTGTGGAGCAGTCATTCAAGGCCAAGAAGCCTAGAGGACTTATCATTTTAGGGCTGTGACTTCCCTGTTCTCCCCCAAACAGACTTCTTCATACCTGCACATTCATTTACCTTTCCCCTTCAGAATTAAAACATCAAGGGCCTCCATACTTTTAGGGCATCAAGGTTTCATATGGCTTCTTGGTCCCCATGAGTGTCCTCTCCCTCACTTCTGAGTGAAATGGCCCTACCAGGTTCTCTCCCCCTCTAGTAACTTTGGCCCCCACAGGGAATGGAACAGGGGAGTTAATGATGAGGAGGTGAGGGAATCCTGGGCCAACTGCATATCCAGTCATCCTCTGAGAAGTGATGGTTAAGTGCATGGACTTTGGAGTCACCTTGCTTGTGATCAAATCCTGGCTTTGCCACTTACTAATTTGGACAAGTTATTTTATGTCTCTGTGCCTTAGTTTCTTCGCCTGTTAAATGAGAACATCAGGTAATCCAGTGACTCCAGAGGCTAAGGTAGGAGGATCATAAATTCGAGGCCAACCTGAGCAATTTATCAAGACCCTATCTCAAAAGAAAATGAAAAGGGATGGGAATGCAGTTCACCAGTACACAGCACCCCTGGATTCAGTCCCTATTACTAGAAAAAAAAATGAGAAATTTATTAGCACCTATCTCCTAGGGTGCTGTGAGTTATATGAGCCAATACATATTAAGCACTTAGGAGTGTGCCTCACTAATAGCAGTAGAGAAATGTGATTATTATTCCTCTGGCTCTATTCCACTTAGCCTGAGAGATAAAGTAAGCCTGAGAGAGGGAGGGTCCAGAAGATATAGAACTATATTTTATGGAAGTAAAAACCTCTTCTTGGGAAGCTGGGAGCAAATGCAGCCCTCACTGCCTTTCCTGACCTAGCCCTACCTTTCCCTTATTCTCCCAGCTTGAATTTCCCCCTCCAGGGACACAGCCCAGAGGTCAGGCAATGCCCTAGCTCCATTGTAGCAGCCCCCACTGAGGAAAAGTGATCAGATTAACTGAACTTTGAGTTCAGAGAACAGCCAGGGTTGGTCCCCCTTGCAAACACAGTGAGCACAGCTGAGAAAAGGGATGGAGTAGGGAAGCAGGTTCTTATCTCCTGAGGGCTAGGACTCTGCATCTATTGGGGACCATCCTACATCTATGCTATTCTAGAGTGGTGATTCCAGCTTCTGGGCTTCTCATTTCTGCCCTTTGCCTTGGTACCTCCTGAGTTGACCTCTAGCATTACCTCTTATGGCTTTGGGAGTGAAGATGCAATTGGTTGGGAGGTCCCACTGTCTCTCTCCCTGGGATAGCTCGGGATCAAACTGCACAATGTGGGAGAGGCCTGGAGCCTGGAGCCATCGTGGGAAACGTGGAAGATGGGAACTGCTGAACTCCCCCGCCTCCTTTTTTTTTTCAGCTGGTTCAGAACTCAGTGCACTTTTCCCAGAGCTGGCAGCTTGCTGCTGGGAGGCAACCTCTAGAGCCCCAGGAGGCCAAGAGTATAAAAACAATCCCAGGCTCCCAAAGAGAGAGGGCAGGTGGAGGAGCATGTGGAGCCTGGGAGAGCAGTCATTCTTCAGCAAGCGCTTACTGAGTACCTACTGGATGTCGAGTAAAGCCCTGGTATACAAACATGAGAAACAGACCTGACCTCAAAGGCTCTCCAGGGTAGTGGGGGAGTGAAATCCAGAAATAACATCTATGAGAAACATAACCAAGAGAGATACGAGCAGGGGGAGGAACAGGAAGAGTCCAGAGAGGGTACCCTGGAGGAGGTCGATCCTGCGCTAATTACAGAGTACACATGGAATCTCAGGTGCAAAATAAGAACCATTCTTCTGAATCCAGCATGTTGAGTCAGGCACCAGTTTGGCCTAGGGAAGAAGGAGGAAGCGGGGTTTCAGGGAGAAGGAGTGAGCAGGAGTGAAGGTATGGAGGTGAAGTGGAAAATTCAGACAGCAGCCAGGTCATCTGGATCATCACCTTGAATGGATACACAACTCACCTGGGTTTTGCTAAAGTGAGGTTCTGGGATTGGGAGTGTGGTTCAGTGGTAGAGCATTTGCCTGGCATATGTGAGGTCCTGGGTTTGATCCCCAGCACTGCAAAAAGATAAAACCCCAAAAGCCAGCTTTGATTGACTAGGTCTGAGATTTCTGCATTTTAAGCAGGCTTCTATATGTTTTTTAAAGCCGCTGCTTTGGGGACCACACTTTGGGTGGCAGGGTTTTTGATAAGTCAGTCTGGAAGCCTAGAGCTGGTGTATTGGGAAGGCCACAGTGCCAGAGGCAGGTGCTTGTGAACTGAGGCCCAGTGACTTAGATGAGCTATGGGGAGGCTAAGGAAAGTAGTAACAGAAAGCAGTGCCAGACCCTACAGACAGGAGGGCAAACTGGTAGAATCTAGGAAGTGACTGGACAGGGTGAAGGTGCTAGTGGATGAGGGAAAATACTAGCAAGGGTGAACACTAGCATCCCAGTTCTGAAGACTTCATTGCTTCTTTCCATCACACCATCTGGGATCTGCAGCCCATTTTGGGAAGAGGACAGAAAGGAAAAAAAAAAAAAAGACAGAATTAGTCCTCTCCCCCATCTCCACAAAAGGGTATACTTAAGACCCAAGTTCCTCCAAGCCTAACAGTAATTCCTGGAATGTCCCTTTAGCCAATAGGTCAATCTAACCTAGAATGGGTCATTTTCCTCTTTCCATTTCCTCATTGCTGAAAAACCTAACGGGGTCCCAAAACAATGGCATGATCTGATCCTGGGTTTCATTTTGCTATAAACATCTGGTTGATGGAGTCCTTGGTTGGCTCCTTTCCTTTTCTTTCTTTTGTTTTATTTTGGTGGTACTGAGGATTAAACCCAGGGTCTTACTCATTAGGCTAATGTTCTACCACCCAGTTGTATCCCTAGTCCTGCTCTGTCATTGTCTGAGATGTGGGTTTGGTGTGGGTGAGCACTCTAGGGTATGTAAAATAGGGGAACTGAGTGGCCTAGATACTTGAGCTTACACCTGTCTGCCTGTCTCATTTTGTCATGGAGCCAGCAGCCGCACAACGTGATCCAAAGACGTCTGATGGAGGGGAATCAGAGTCGGCTTCAGGGGGAGTCTCCCTTAGTGCAGGCCCTGGTTCATGGCCAGGACAGCAAGAGGAAGACCAGTGGGACAGAGATTCCAGCTCTTCTGGTCAACTGCAAGGTGAGAGGCCTTCTAGGGCACTGATCTTAACAAACCTCCCTGAGCAGCTCACTTTGTTCTTCTTTCTGCCCTGACTGGCAGGGAAAAGAGACAGGAAGGGCAAAAGGGCACTTCTCCCCTATCCTGGACCTAAAACAAGTTCTCTGTCTTCTTTTTTCTCTGTTTCAACCCATCTTTTCTCCCACAATTCCATCTGTTATCACCACGATATCATTTCTCTCCTGAAATTGTAATATTTACATGTGAAAACTTAAGTCCTCTTCAACTTCTCTACATATCTGAAGGGTGCATGCATGTATGGGAAATGCATTCTCCCAGGAAAAGCTCCTATGTTCCAAGGTGAAGACCCTGGCATCTCTAGAGCCACTGAAACACCCACTATTGAATTGTTCCCAATAAATGTTCTTCTACTCTTCTGCCCAGAGAGCTCTCTTCCTGTTCTCCAATCACTCTGTCCAAGTTCTGCAGTCCTTTAAGGCCCAGCTCAGATGTTACCTCCTACTTGAGAGATTTATTGATGCCCCAAGGAGGAAATAGCTTTCCTCCCTCTCAACTTCTAAAAGACACTTGACTCAATCTTCTCACAGACTTTAGAACTTTCTACGAGGCTGTGGGTGTAGCTCAATGGTAATGCACAAGGTCCTGAGTTCCATCCCCAGTGTTTCAAAAACAAAACAAAAAAACCCTCAAACCAAAAACACCTTTGTACCAGAGTTATATTTTACTTCCTTTACATTCCTGAAGAACAGTGTTCACTGATGTACTTTCCAGCAGCATATCTTCTGCATTGTAGATGCTTAATAAATATTTTGAATGAGAAAACTACGTGTGTGTGTGTATCAAAGTGTATAGCCAAATGTCTGTAAATATCCCAAAGAAAGCAAACTTGTCTTCCATTATTTGCAGTGGTGAACCTCTTGGTTACTCACATCTAAGTTTCCTGATAAGGGATTCCAGTCTCATCCCTCCTCTATTCCTAACCAGGAGGCCTCAACCTCACGAGAATTTCTCTAAGCAAACATCACCATTTCTGGCCAAATCATTCCCAACTTATGGACTCACTGTGTGGCTCTGCTTCTTTTCTGATTTCTTTACCGGAGAGACAGTTTTGCTTCAATTATAACTCCCATAAAATTTCCTTTTGAAGACTCAGTTCATTCCCTATGTTCATTTTTAAGAGAACCATCAAAGCCGGGAAAGCTGAAGCCTTAACCCCAATCATTATTTTTTTAAGTCCAGGGATTGAACCTAGGGATGCTTAACCACTGAGCAACATCCCCAGCCCCTTTTTATATTTTATTTAGAGACAGGGTCTCACTGAATTGCTTAGAGCCTTGCTAAATTGCTGAGACTGGCTTTGAACTCAATGATCCTTCTGCCTCAGCATCCTGAGCTGCTGAGATTACAGGCATGTACCACTGCACCCAGCAACCCAACTCCAATCCTTCTTCCCGAGAAACTCACTGATCCACCCAAATTCTTCTTTTTTAGTGCCAGGACCAGCTGCTTAGAGTGGCTGTGAACACAGGAACCCAACACAATCAGATCTCCACTGGATGTCTCAGCCGCCTAGGGTAAGAGTGTGGTCCACATGAATGAATGGGGATGGGGTTTCTTTTTGGAGTGATGAAAATATTCTCAAATAAGCTAGTGATAATTGCACAACTCTGTGAATATACTAAAAACCACTGAACTGGGGCTGGCTCATGGCTCAATGGAAGAGCCTTGACTAGCAGACAGTGAGATTTGATCCCAGCACTACAAAAAACAAAACCCCAAACTACATACTTTAAAAGAGTGAATTTTAGTTAGGTGCAAAGAGGTATATGCCTGTAACTCCAGCTACTCAGGAGGCTGAGGCAGGAGGATTGCAAGGTGAAGGTCAGCCTGGGCAACTTAGGGAGATTCTGTCTCAACTTTAAAATAAAATAAAATAAAAAGGAATGGGATTTAGCTCAGAGGTAGAGCACTTGCCTAGCATGTGTGTGCACACATGCAAAGAATGAATTTTATGATACATGAGTACTATCTCAATAAAGCTGTTATTAAGTTTTTGGCAGTGCTGGGGATTGAACCTAGAAATCTTGCACATGCTAAGAAAGCACTCTACCACTAAGCTACACCCCAAGTCCAGCAAGTACATATTTATTTAAATACTTTTTTTTCTTTTTTATGGTGCTGGAAATTGAACCCAGGATCTCAAACATGCTAGGCAAGTATTCTACTGAGTCACATTCCTAACACCCCAAAAAGTGGGTTGGAGGCTCAGGCAGGGAATATAAAGATTTAGACTCCATGTGGTATCAGGGATTGAATGAGAATAAATCAGTAGTAGCCAATTAATGGGGTTGGGAGTAAGAGTGTGGAGTCCATGGTAGCCATAACACTTGTTTCCTAACCACAGGTTAGGGAAGAGGGTTCTGAAAGCCCCAGGTGGGGACATGGCACCTGGGCCAACCCAGGTGGAGCAGCTGGAGCTCCAACTAGGGCAGGAGAAGGTGGCATGCTCAGCCCAGGTGGTGGGTAAGTTCTCCCTTTGCCAACAGCCTTTTGTCACCTCTCCTACCTTTCTCTTCTGGGCATGGCAAAGGCAGTTTCAGCCACTGCCAGTCCCCAAGGATGCTCTGACTGTCCTGAGCTTTGTGCCAGTATTCTCAGACCTGCTATTGGGGTGGGCAGGGAAGGAGGAAGTGCCGAGAGGGCGCAGCAGTGACCATGATGCAGCCTCTCATTTTTCAATGGTTTCTGCAGATGTTGACAGTCCTGAATTCTGCCTGGGCCTGCAGACTCTGCTCTCCCTCAAGGTAAGGTGACCATACTTGGGGCCCGAACCAAAGTATAGAAAGAGGCAGAAAGCACAGAGTGGAAGTGAAGGTCAGGCTCTGAGGGAAAAGTCAAGAGAACTGGGTTCTTCCCTGACAGGGGTCCAGGTATATGGGAAGCAGAGGGAGCAGCAGAAAGCAGGTGGAAGCTGTGGGAAGTGGAAGGGGGAACACAAGATTGGGTTTCAGACGGGTGACCTCGTATCATGGACTCCATACCCCACAGTGCTGCATTGACCTGGAACATGGAGTGCTGCGACTGAAAGCCCCCTTCTCAGAGCTGCCCTTCCTGCCTCTGTACCAAGAGCCTGGCCAGTGACCGCTGTCCCAGTTGGTCCCAGAGGGAAATACCTTGCCTTAGAGGAAGAGCCATGTATGGAGTGGGGACATTATCTGAGCTGGGTAGCTGAGGACTACTGTGTCTGTCCTTCTTCTCACCATCCTGACCTCCGCTGTCCCATTTCTCTCAGTTGGCTGCCTTCCTCTCTGCTTTTCAGTAGCTGCCCTCTGTTTCAGGAAGTTTCCACTAAAGGGCCTATCTCCCACAGCAGCTAGACTGCCATGCTTCTCCAGCCTGGGTCCCTGGCCCTTCTGGCACTTGCTCTTTGGGCACCTACCCTTCTGATTCTGTTCAGAGATGAGTGTGGAAAGACAGTAAATGGAATAATTCAATATAAGGAAGGGAAGTTAGTATAGGAATGTCCAGCCCATAAGGTTGAATACTTTGATTAGTTATATTTTATGGGCTGCAAATGTCTGGGGATGTTTCTGATCAATTGATTACCCTGTGCAAAAACTGAGTATGCCTCTAATACTTACTCTGGATACTTATCCTTCTTTCACTTGCTTTTGTACCCACTGGGCCCCTGAGCTTTGGGACAGTGTTAGGAAGAACCCTGTAGAGAACTGTCTCTACAACCCTGCAAGGTGGACACAATGTTAGGGCTGTCAGTATTCAGACTTAACCTATCCAAGATTCATTCTCTCTCTCTCTCTCTCTCTTTTTTTTTTTTTTGGTATCAGAGATTGAATCCAGGAGCATTTAACCACTGAGCCACATCCCCAGTGCTGCCCCGCTTTTAAAAAAAATTTTACTTAGAGACAGGGTCTTGTTGAGTTGCTTAAGGCCTTGCTAAGTTGCTGAGGCTGGCTTTGAACTCGTGATCCTCCTGCCTCAGTCTCCAGAGCCACTGGGATTACAGGCAGGCACCACTGTGCCCTGCTTCATTCTTATTTCTAGAACTATCCACCTCATTAAGCCTTCTTCCTACTCCTCTCATGTCTTCTGAGCTTGAGCTTGTCTTGTCCTGGAATTAGTGGCTTTCTATCTCCCTGCCAGACTTGGAACCAAGGCTAAAAGACAAAGGCTCACACTGATTTTTCTGTGAAGAGCAGAATCTAAATCTTAAGAAGTTAGATGCCTGAGTGTCTTTCTGGCTGTTCTAACTCTCTCAAATCATGGTTGGGGTAGAGAAAGACAGCAATATCTAACCCAAACTAAGGAACTAGGACCATTGGGCTGGAAACTAAATCTTTAGTGTGGGGTAGATTAGAGAAAAAACAGGATGCAAGGAGCCACCTTGTGGCCCTTGGTCTTATCTTTTCAACTGACTCCCTGGCCGTCAAAAGAAGGGAAGGCTTGCTTAGCATATTTGTCATAGTGCCTGGTCTTAAAACTCCTAAAGGACTGCCTCTCCTTCACTGTCTTGCTCTATGACCTCTACCTCTTTCCCTGTCTTTCCTGCTGCTTCTGTGATTGCAGACCCAGGCCCAAGGCAGGCCGTGACTTAGCTACTTCTCCATTTGAATAAACACTTGTTTCTCTATGCTGTGTTGTTCTCTGGTCCTCCTCCCGCCTACTGAAAGATGAATGGTAACTTGGTCCCTATTGGCTTATGGGAAGGACAAGTGAATGGGGTCCTTCCCCAGGTTGACCCATTGGGTTAGTCCAATGGAGAGCAATGGCTTGTAAAATACACACAGTACAAATGCACACACACAATTGTGACAAAACAATACTTATCTATACTGTGAGCAGTGGATTCTGATATTTTCTATTTTACTTTATTCTATTCTAGTTCATTTATTTCAGATATGCTGGCCACAACCCACCCAATGATTACAATGTACAACTTGAAAAACACAGACTTAGAGAAGAGAAACAAGAGCAGAAAGAATATAAATTACCCAATATATAATTCTAATCAGAAACCTGCATCAGATTGTAAACATAGCACCATGACATAGACAATAAAGTGGGGGGAAACAAGTGGGTGGGGGAGATGGGAGCAAGGCCTATCAAGCTGTGCAATACTTAAGACTATGGCAGGGCAGGAGGTATCACTCAGTGGTAGAACATTTGCCTAGCATGTATGAGGCTCTGGGCTCAGTCCCCAGCAGCACCAAAGAAAAAGAAAAATAGCAAAGTAAGAAAATATGGGCTCAGCTGCTTCAGTAAATGGAGAAAAATCATCTCAGGGTTGCTAGGACTACAAATAAGATTACACTGTAAAATGAAAGACCCCTCTAAACAAAACAAAGAATTCGCCATTCCTGTACTAATTACTAATGTCAATGAGATGGAGCTGTGCCATGAAATACGGTACTTAGGATTGGGTGGTGGATTCCCTACATCCACTGCTTCCCTGAATCTGAAGTCTGGTTTCCTTATGGGTGCTGGGGCCATGCAAAAGATCTATACTCTGTCTTCATAGACACATCTGTTTTCTGCATAGTGAGGGTAGGAAGCTCAGGGATGAGGCAGTGGTGTACTGAATGATTTTGAATAAGGTCAAGATCTCATGATCCACTTGGCTGATGTGGTGGATGTGGTCCATAAAGAAATGGGCCGAGGGTCACCTTGTCTCTTCTTTCACCAAAAAGACTGAGAGGTCTCTAGTTCAAGGTCACCCTAGGGTTGCTGCCATCCTTCCATGTCAAGACTCAAATCCTGCTCCTCTGTAATAATACATTCCCTATCCTGCCAACATTACAGATACATTTGGGGGTGGGAGTGGGGGTTCAGAAAGATCCTTCACCAGACAGGAGGCCAGTCCCAGCTAGGTGGGATCCTGGAGGCTTGAGGGAGCACATGGTAGTGGCTGGTCCGGATGGTAGAGAGTTTGGTGAAGCAGGGCTCGGGCTGCAGGGAGGTCATCAGGATCTGAGGGCCAAAAAGGGGCTGGTAAGAGACTGTGGGTTTCCTGGGTACCTGGTCCCTGTCTCTCCTGGGACTCACCCATCCCCAGCTCCTGCAGGAGGCTGTGGTACTCAGGTTCAGCTTCTAGCAGTTTCAGCAGATTGGTGGACTCCATCCGTTCCAGCTGTACCTCCCAGTAAACATAGATCTTCTGGTTAAAAGTGACGTACACGAGGCAGGGGCTATTACGGCCCTCTTTGCAGGCGTACAGGCCTGGAAGATGTGGGTAATGAGACAAAGGTCAAGTTGGAGTCCCCGTAGGAAGGCAAGAGCAAGACTCAACATCAGAATCAGCAGTTTTGGCTCTCCCACAGATGTCAAGCAACAAAGGCCCTCTTTCTATTTTTTCTCTATTGGGAACTCAGTAAAATGGGAAAACAAAGAAAATATTTGCCCTATCCCAAGTATAGAAAAATTATAGTAAAAAAACAGGCAGAACAGCACCCAAAAAAGTGGTATTTATTGATTTTTCCATCTTAGTGATGTTTCTAGAGTAATGAGGGACATCCTTGCTAGTTTAACAGATAGGTTAGTAAAATGTGATCAGAAAGAAAAGTTTCTCTTAGGTGTCAATCCTTTTTTTCAAAGTATATATGTCAACCTTTCAAGTCACTGGACTTGTATTCCAGAGAATGGTTCAGTTTTTATCATTTTAAAATAATATTTAGTTTTGTAGTGCTACAGAGGAAACCAAGGGCCTTGTGCATTCTGGGTAAGGATCCTACCACTGAGGTACACTCTAGCTTTTTACCATTTCAGTCATCAGACATATCCCCTAGTCACCCAAAGAGCTAGCGCTATTTCCCCAGGTCCCTGATTTGATAATAATGAGAATGCTCTGGGAGAATTTTCTTCACAGAGTTCTGGCAAGTTCAGATAGAAAAGAACTATCTAATGTCTTCTCACATTCCAGAAAAATAGATGATGAGAATCTTCTTATTCTTGAAAATATTCATAGATGGAGACCTTATTATCTTTTAATTTTTCTTATTTAAAATTGTCAAGATGGGGCTAGGTTGTGGTTCAGGTTGTGGTAGAGCACTTGCCTAGCATGTGTGAGGCACTAGGTTTGATCCTCAGCACCACATAAAAATAAGTAAATAAAATAAAGGTATTGTGTCCATTTACAACTAAAAAAATTAAAAATCTAAAATTGTCAAGGTGGCAACCTAGTACCCATACATCAGCAGCTAATGAAAGAGCTAAAGGACTGAATTGTTTATAAGACTTTCATTAGGGACTATGTCAAGAGTGGAAATGAGAGGCAGACATTTACCTAGCCTATGTAATATGCTTATTTAATACAAATGCACTTAGAGAAGGGTTATGGGGAAGAATCCCACCTGCACAGAAGGCGCGGATATTTTCATCCACTTGGAAGCGAACAACAGTGCGGTTGTAATCGATAATATATGTCTGTCCATCCCAGGCACATGCAACCACCTCTTCATGCCCATTTCCCTGAAAAAGGCCAAGACAAGGATGCAGGAGTGGTGAAGGGGTGTTTTAGAAAAAGATCTAATGATGGGAGCTGGATGAGATATAAAGGACCATGAACTTGGCTCTGGATGGCCAATAGGGAGTTGAGGAAGCACTCCCATGTGCCTGGTACCTGAAGTCAAATAAACCACTTAAAAAAATGCTCACAGCAACTCTATGGAGATGGAAACATTATTCCCTAGTTTAGTCTGAGGAAACTTCAGCTTTCAGAAATAGTCACTTGCCTAATGTCACTCAACTGGAGAGGGGTGAGGCAAGACCCCAAGCCAGGTCTGCCTTCAAAACCATCAAGCATGCACAATAGCAGTGTAAAGTTTAGCCCCCATCTGCCAATTTAGAGGCACAGCATATTAAATAGACTCATATGGAAAAGAAAAAAACTACAAAAAGCACATCTGTAATCGGGACTAACAACTCACTTCTAGACTCTTACAGTAACTTCTTTTTGGGGGGGGTTTATTGCTTCTACTGAAAGGTATGGAAATAAGAAATTTTTCCAGCTGCCTAGTAGAGAGAACTTATAAATACTGTGGTGTCAGGAAACACACTAACTCCAGATAACTTGATGTGTCTAAGAGACTTGATTTGAATAGGAGAATGGCTTGATTTAAAAACCATCTCTCCATGAAGGCAGAAATGCTATTCTCCACCATTTCTACTTACTGTGACATCTAACTTTTCTAGGGCGAAAAGTTGGTGATCCACCTGGACTGACCACAGCAGCTTGTCTGCTTCTTCCATAAGCTTCAATGTCCCTATAGGGGGAGACATGGGCTTGGGGTGGGTGGGTCAGGCCACTGAGCAGACCCACAGGCAAACACCTACCCAATGCAGCCCAGCATTGCTCACCATCCAGGGTGCACAGGGCAAAGAGGCCAGAGCCACCACTCTCAGAACTGTGGCCTGTGGTTGAGAAAAAGGGCCACAATAAGAAAATGTGAAGGACAGAGTAAGATCAATCTCCAGGATGAGGGGTGGCCCGTGACAGAGAGGGAAGGATGGGACTAGAAATGAGGTCAGGTCCAAGATCTCCTCTCCCTCAGAACTGACCAGCTATCCCTCAGCTCCTTCCCTTCTTCCCCCTCACCCATCCTCACCTTGCTTGATGTTGCCAATCAGGTGAGTGGAGACATTCTTGTTGTGGATGCGGCCAGAAGTCTGGTGCAGCACTATATCTCGGGCAGCTGGGGTCTCCCTGCGGGCAGGAGGGAGGTGGGCCAAGAGGGAGGTCAAGTAAGCTGAGTTCTCTGGGCCCTTTGAAGCTGCCATCCCTATAAGTTTCCAGGACTTGAATCAGCTTGGAAACTTATCCCTGACTCTGTCTGGCCCATATGACAAATAGAAGAGAGCTTGGGCTGCCAGGTAGAAATTTTGGAACCTTGTAGGGCATAGTGGTGCATGCCTATAATCCCAGTGACTCAGGAGGCTGAGACAGGAGGATCTCAAGATCAAAGCCAGTCTCAGCAATGGCGAGGCCCTAAGCAACTCAGTGAGACCCTGTCTCTAAATAAAATACAAAATAGGGCTGGGGATGTGGCTCAGTGGCTGAGTGCCCCTGAATTCAATCCCCAGTACCAAAAAAAAAAAAAAATTGGAACCTCTTTCAGAAACTCTAAGGTTAAAGCCCAAGATTCCATGGGTCCCAAGTAATTTTCCTTAATGGGAAAGGTGCTTGGGCTGGGACCTAGATGAAAGAGCTCTGTTAACTGCAGACCTCACTGCCACGTGCCCTCCAGGAGCCCATCTTGCTTCCATGTACCCCACACCATTCACAGTCCATACTTCCTTACCTACTGCCCTCCGTGGCCCCCTCAGAGGTAGCAGGGGACCCAGTATCCTTGTTCCAGGTACACAGAAGCACTGCATAAGCACAGCCTGGCTGAGATACCATCAATTCAGGAATACCCAGTGGCCCCGGTGTCACCGAGAGACTGTCCACCTGCCAGGAACAGGGGCTTAACTAGGTTGAGGAGAGAATAAAGGGATACTCTGCTGAGAAGAGGGAAGATCTGGGGTGGGGGTCCTAGGAACAGCCCTCCAGCTAGAGGGTAGAAGCAGGAGGAGGAATTCCAGGGTAGTAGGCAGGCGCCATCTCCTCTGCACAGACCATCTGTTTTCTGCTGTGTG